TCCAGGAACCTCCTGGATTGCTTATGCCCTGCTGTGTTGTCCCACCAAAAGATATCAGGGTGGTTGAAGTACCCCACGAGGACCAGGGCTCATGAACGTGAGGCTGCTCCTATCTGTCTATGGAGGGCCTCATCCGCTTGGTCCTCCTGGTTGGGTGGCCTGTAGCAGACCCCCACTATAATGTCACCTGTCCCTGCCCTCCCTTTAATCCTGACCCATAAGGTCTCAGTCGGCTCCCCATCCATCCCCAGGCAGAGCTCCATGCACTCCAGCTGGTCATTGACATAGAGGGTGATACCCCCCCTCCTCATCTCCCCTGCCTGTCCTTTCTAAAGAGCCTGTATCCTTCCATTCCAATGCTCCAGTCATAGGAGCCATCCCACCACATCTCTGTGATACCAGTAAGATCACAGCCCTGCAGTTGTGTGCACATCTCTAACCCCTCTTGTTTATTCCCTAATGCGACGTGCATTTGCATAGAGGCATTTAAGTCGGGCCCCCGATGAAGCTGACTTACTGGCTGGAGTGGCTGGAATTCCTTTGTGCTGCTCTTCAGGCGCTCCCCTGCTGACCTGTGATCCCTCTCCAGGCTCTGGGCATGTATTGCTGGCACTAGCATCAAACTGGTAGGAGTGGGATGGGCTGAGGGTCCCCTTGCCCGGCAACTTTAGTTTAAAGCCCTCTTCACCAGCTTGGCAAACCTATGACTGAAGATGCTATTCCCCTTCTCTAACCCCATCAGCCCTCAGCAGACCAGGTTTCTCAAAGCAAGTCCCATGGTCTAAGTAGCCGAACCCCTGGCTCTGGCACCAGTCCTGTAACCGTTTGTTGATTCATCAGATTTGACTGGCCCTTTCAAACCTCTTCCCTTTGACCAGAAGGATTGATGAAAAAACTACCTGCGCTCCAGAGTCCCCACTGCCACTCCCATGGCTCTGTAATCCTATGAACACATTCTAAATTGTACTAGACAAGCCTAATAGCACATAAAAAATAAAGCAACTAGATGTTTGACTTGCAAAGAACTAACATGATCAAAAATAAAGTCTAAATGACAAAACACAGTTTTACTTAGTAATTTTCTACTTAAAGAAAATTACTGGCAGTAATATATTTGTCATTACAGTCATATTGATAAAACCTTATGGAGTAAAAAAGTGTGCATGAAATATGTTGTAAAAACCCTTGTAGTATAAAGTTATAATTAAACTATTGAATTTCCTTATTTAGAGAAGCCCTACTGAAAATCAAAGAATGCAGAAATAGGTATCTCTGTCACCTAACATCTCTACTAGGGGTAGATCCATTTTGAAATCTGAAAATGATCTGCACAACCATAAGTTTAGCATGTCTTCAAACAACTACATTTGTAAGAGACCATTTTGTTTATAATGGAACACAGCAAAATGTTCTTTTGACAGAACATTTTGTTCCAAGTCCCTATTTCTGTACTGTACCCTAAAAATCACTTACGTAAATTATGTCGCATAGATCAGCATGAAATACTCAAAAAGAAATCTCCATCCATGGAAAAAAGTCTTGATTTCAATAGGTTTTGCTTTTAAATCAACTGGAAACCCAGACCAAATTCCCTTTAACACATTTAGTGTGCCTGAGCTGATTTATGGTTTCAACATAGCAAAAAGTTGGTACTAATGACACGAAAGAACATGAAGCACGAGAGATTTTGGTCAAGGTTCATGTGGAATTGGGAGTATTAGTAACTCTAAAGTGTGAGAAACTAGTGCGGAAACAAAGGAAATATTCATGCTAACCTTTTCATGCCAAATTATTTACCAAAATTAAAATTTTTGCTATATTCATAAAATAAAAATCCCAAATCGTACAACTGTGCTGAACAAGCAAGGTTCCCTCTCTTATTAAATGCAGCGATTATACATTGGAGACTGTAAATGCTGTTTGATAAAAATGGCTGGTGCCTGTCCCAGATGAAGATATCTCTGGAATAGAGTTAGATTCTGACAGCTGGATTAACACATTGAATAAATGAGGACGATGGCCTTCTGGATATTACTACTGGCAATTTCTGTGTATTCATTCTTCTGGAATACTCCTGCTGGTTTAGGAGGAGAGGGTACAACAAATTAACCACAAGCCATATGTTCAGGTCATCATCTTAAATAGGTACCTTTGCTGCATCAGGATTTGCCGCTCTAATCAGAATGTGTTTTGCATGAGGGCAAAGTGTAGTATAGCTGTATATCCCTTCATACTGATCATTGTCTGGGGTGGGGGCTGGAACATTATGCAAGAATGAGACTGTTAATGCACTATTAGGAACTTTCTTAATTATAAAATAGCACACTCCCTGATAACTAAAAAATTATTTTCACATTATTCCAGTAGCTGGACTGAATAAAGAGATATTGTGACATATTATCCTGGAGACACTTTTCAGGTACTTGCTTTAGGCTGAAGCACATTATGGCTAGCATAATCCAGAAACCATCTAGGACAACTATACTTTCTTCTTAAAACTTACATTCAGGAGTATTATTTGTAGGCATTAGTTCACATTGTGCACAATAAATACTTGATTCCATGTTTCAATTACACAAATATATATTTAGTCTCTTTATACATGCCCATTAAAAATATAACTCTTACCCCCAACCCAAGCATGGATTTTCTCTGTAGCATAACGTTTATCCTTAAAGTAACTACTTGAGTATAGTGAATAATGTAAAAAGCACATATTCAGTCCAGCCACCTTAAACAATGCCCTAAATGAATCACTAATGGCTAGTGACAGAAAACTACTTGGTTACAGTTTGCTACTGTTCGGCATTAAATGGTCTTTTAATACTTGGATTGAAGTTATCTGGCAAAACCTTCACTGGCTTGATTAAATTGTGATAACCACTTATTCACCAAAACAATACTTACACATACGCAATTCTATCAGAACTCCTGAAGTCTTTACCAGCATGGACAAATTACAATATGAAATCTTTGAAGGATTTACTAGAGAAGTCTTTCTTTTTGTGTGTCAAAGGTCTACAGGGAACATAGCATGCTTAGTGCTGGAGCAGGGTCTTTTCTGTCCCCACCATCATCAACAACAACGTATGGTCAGGTAGCTACCATCTACATTTGCAGAGGCTTTTGCCTGAAGAAAATGCAGATGAGTGCCAAATGAGATTATTACTCCATTTGGTGTTAGACTTTTAACCTGCTTGGCCACTTTGTATATGTTAATCTGAGCAAACTGTCATTAGGCTAAGAATCTGTCCCAAAATGTAATGGTCTAGTTAAAATACATAGAAGCAGCCTGCATAGTGCCTCTCTACACTAGATTTGACTGCAGCCAGTACTATTAATCCTCTAATGTCATAAATACCATAGGAAAGACATGCTAATAAAAAAGACAGCACTGACACCATTAATCATGTATAGGAGTATACAAATACTGCAGAAATCTCTCTCACTGTTTAAAGAAAATCAGCATTATAACAATTTCCTGGAGAGACTTTACATTTATTTCACTGCAAAAAATATTTACACTCTGAAAATAATAGTCTTTTAAATAACCATATGATTTTAAGTATCATTGTTATATCTATGTCAGCTTTTAGTGAAATAGTTATGGACGTGTTGTCAGCGGTTCTGCTATCAGCTCTGTTTGTGGGAAGGTTTGATTTAGTTAGCAATGAAGTTTGCTCCAAGCTGAAAAATTCATTTCGACCTTATGTCAGAGCTATGTAGACATGGATTATTAGATCAATACCTAAAAAATGACTTATAGTTGGGAAAAAAAGGTATCTCCTAATTAAAACATATTAGAAAGAGATTTTTCAAATAAACTACTACTATACTGACAGAAATGCCCAAGTTACTTACATTTAGAAAAGATATAGCAAATTGTTATTCTCTGATACAAGCTAGCTGCTAGATATCTGCAGAGTACTCTGGAACCCCACTCTGTTTGTGGAATTTAAGGGCACTGGTGGAATTTACAGAGTCCATATGCCACATTCCTAAAATGTTGATAAAGACTGAGTTTCAGTTACTTACATGAAAATTTTAAAGGTCACCAAAATAAACACTGTAAGTTAAAAACTCAGCAAAATGCAGCATTGTTTTTAAAATAATCTCCATATTCCAGGTATTTATAAAACTGAGTTGTTCAGCCCATTTCCTATTATGAAGACATCCTCTATTATTTTGAGTTACAGATAGTGGCATTACTCATAAAGGGGCAGGGAACGAAGTAACTTAAGATAACGATTCCAATGTATAACTTTTAGGGTTTTATAGCAATGGAGTTCATATTCTACTTACAAACTATTTGGAAAGAGATTATGTTTGTAAAAGAAATATTTGGCTAAAAGCATCTTCCACTGAACTTCTCTCTTCTCCACTCACTCTGAAGTCTTTTACTTTCTTTTACTCTGGAGTGTAAAAGGAATCTGCTTCTGGGGCAGTTTCCAGTTGCAGCTCACACCAGTAGGGAGTTGTCAATGTTCAAAATATTTGAAAATACATTTCAAAAATTGAGGCATGCAAAATCAGAAGTAAAAAAAAAAAAATTATTTGAAATATGGTTTGTGCTGCCAGTATGTAGATAATTGAAAACACACATGGCTATATCACAGTAATGTATGTTGAACCTCACATCTTCAGATATTAAATCTTAAGTATTGAACCTGAATGCTAAAAAAAAAATAAATGAGAGTTATTACATTTATGTATTTGTGGGTAAGTAAATATTCCTAAATATTATATTATGCCTTCTTTTTACTTTCTTTTTTGAGAAGAAAACCAATTTTCCTTGCTTGAGGGACTTAATAATTGATAAACCTAATTCCTCTTTGAAGCTATAAAAAAAAAAAAAGGGTATAAACTCGGCTTTTATTGCATTTTTATAGAGCTCTTTCTTGTCAATCTTCTAGAGTTTGTCTTTCAGTCAGTCTTTCACTGTGAGAAATTTTGCATGCAAACAATCCACGTCACAGCAAAAATTTAAATTATATTTACTTTAAATAAAGCCAAGTAAACTGTTTTCCTGTTTCAGGTGATATAATTTTGTGAATAATTTTATAACTCTGTTCTTTACATCTAATAGTTTAATCTTATCTGGCATTATTCCTAATTTGTAAGCCTCTGTTGATTGATTTCCATATCCACGAGTGGTATTTACTACAAAAAGTCAAAATCTTGCCTTAAGTATAGAGGTGGCTTTGGCTTGCTATCCAAAATCTAAATCCCGAATTTGTATAACATTGTAGAAGTAGTTTTTATTTCTGGTATACAAGTGTATTATTCTTCCCTGTGCAAACTGTGCTTCTGCAAGTACATCTATAATCTGCAGTGAATGTAATTAAATTGATGGGACTCTGTACAGGAATTGGACTTCCTGAATACAATGCTGTGTAGAACTGAGGATTTTTTAATTCTTTTTACTCAGCAGAAAATGAATATAAATATATTTTGCTAATTTTTACAATGTTTATGGGAATTGAAAGATCTAAATTTTGTCACAGTCTTTCTTTTGCTTATTGCTTTTCTTATGGGTAAAATATTCTAGTCTGTTATTCAAAGCTATGTTGAAAACTGAGATAATTTATGTCCGTACAAATGTCAGGATTATGTATATGAGTTTTAGATATTCACACTGGGTCTAACTTTGATATGAAAATAAAATGTGTATCAAATATTTTTCCAATACAAACTGTATAGATTTTTGAAAGACTTTAATCTTCACAAATGTTATAGGGTCCACTTTTCTCCAGGGCAGATGTCCTCTCTTATTTATACTGATTACCAGAATAAATGCTAATAAATGAGGCATCTTTAGTTAATCATAGCAAAGATATAATTTTTAGCACTAAGAATATTGCATTTTTCCTAAAAGAAGCCCTCTACTTTGCAATGCAATGACATTATTTCTAGCATGAAGAAATCAAAGATGGACCAAAATATAAATACAGGTTACAAATAAAGAATATTTTCATCAATTATACATAGACATTTGAAACAAAAAATGCTTTTTATTTTCTTAAAACTGTCACTTTAAAATATATTACATTTATACATTCTTCCTGCTCACTAAGTGACATTTCCTTGCTGTTTTTTCCTTCAACAGGTATTTCTGATCGGTAACTAAAATACTAATTTCCTCCAGAAAACAGTAAGTAAGAGTGTTAGGGATTGGCAGAGATGCATTTTCTTTATGTTTTTCTCACCACAATTTAACTGTGCTAGCACATCATAGGCTTTTCAAAAAATAATAGAATAGACTCTCTCAAGGGGTAGGTGACTGGATAGATGCTGGGGTATGGTGTCAAATCTTTTACGGTATATGGCATAAAGAAAAAACAAAAAGTTACTAACTGGAACACACTAGTCCCCACTTGCAAACATTGCATGGTTTGTACCACTGCAGCAGTCCTTTTTCTTCCCTACTTAAATGAATCCCGTGACAGGTTCTGCACATCAGAACCAACAAACCCTGGTAGGGCTGGGCAAGGGAGTTACCCAGTGCCTGCTTGCACTTAGTTTAGCTCTTCATGTTCTCAGACATGTTTGAATGTCAGCTCTCATTTCAGTATGTGTGAAAACTACATCTATGCCACACTCAGTTGCAAGTTACATGCAGGAATGAAGTAAAAGTAATTAGAAGTGAAATTTCACATAAAGGAGTCTTTTTAGTATAACACTTTAAATGCATTTTCCTATATAGTATCACATCAGCAAATAATAAAGTGTGGACTGAAAGCTAACAACTTAGGCATAATTATAGATTGGAAAATGTAAATGTTAAACATTAATTCAGAATGAGAATCAGGGAAGTCAGAATTACAAGTTCAGCTGGAGAATACTTTTAAAATATGTACCTTAAAAAACAAGATCTAAAGACCTACCAATTTTCAATTTATACATGAAATAATCACTGCATAGAAAGAAGGCCAAGTTTAACAACAGGAACTATCACTTTAAACTTACCATTTAAATTGTTGATAGTTTCTTAAAAGCATTTACCCAAAAACATGTTACAGCTTTAGGTCCTCATTTTTACCACAACAGAAGGTTATCTTGTCCTGGCAGGTGAAAGAGGTTGTAGAATAATAGCTCTTTTCTGGTTTGGTTTGGTTTTGTTTTGTTTTGGGGGTTTTTTTTCCCCATTTGTCAAAAGTAGTAAACAAAATTTAGCAAACCTGTTAACAAAACTTTGGTTATGTCCCAGATACAAATCGAGCTAGGCAGGTTAGTCATCATGATTTCCATGTAGTTTGGGATATAATTGTCTTTTTTGCTTTGTCTTCCTTTTGAAAATACAATAACAATGCTGTATATGTAGAAGTGTTCATTATACACATAAAAGAGAAAGAAATCTCTTGCTATCTTAAATCTCACTTTTAAGTTTATGTGATTATAATGAGAAGAAATGAAAATTCCTGACTGCTAATAGAAGTGGCAATATTTGTAAAAATAAGAACATCACTGCTGGGCAAGGACTGCTGTACAGTGTTACCATGTACAACAGCAATCCTGTAATTTCAGATTTATATTACAGAGAACTACTGCTGTCCTGATAGAGCATTTGTCTATCCTTTTTTCACTAAGGAGGACAAAAGGAGTGTCCAGAATGTGTCTCTGAAGGTCTACTTCTACTTCTTGCCAAGGGCTGGTGCACTACTGAAATTTAAGAAAAATCTTAAAAGATTTAGACTGCAATTTCTGAAACTGAAGCATTATTGTACAGAAATTGTATTATCTGAAGTATTACTATATAGAAATTTACCTCCTTAATGCAATTTGTCTACTTTTTCTCCAAACATCACAAAAGCAAATTAAAATTTATATACACCAAAATATTTTACAAAAGATTTTAAACTACTCTGTTACTTGAGAAAAGATTCTGGCAGCGCTGATGGAATTTGCTTTATGTACTGCTATGGTTTATACTTTTTCATTGTATAATTTGTTTTATTTCAACTGCAACTCAACAGGATCACAAAGGAAAGTATGAATAAACATGAATTTGAGATGTTGCAACTGAGCACAGGAGTGTAATGATGTTAAATTCTTCCCTACAAATCAGCTTCTTGCAAGAAGCTTTAAATGTCTGATTTCCTCCACAGAACTCAAACCAAACCACTGATGTTACTAAAAATGAGTAGCTTGCCTGCATATGTCCCTTACAGCATCATTCTCTTATAATTGATTTGTACAACACAAAAGCCAGTACAAAAGGTTGCACAGAAAGGAGTTTGCTCTTACCCTACCTAAGCAGCTCCCACAAAAGCTGCCACTGAAACTTCTCTCAATGCACGCCAGAGATTTCTACATTGTGAAAGCTAAGGAATTTGACTGCATGGTTTTTAAAGAAACCAACAGGATCATCAGTTTTATATGATTACATTTTTGCCTGCTGATATTCATCGATTCTTGAAAGGAAATGAAAGCAATATAAAAAGACAGGAGTTACACTGAACCAGTAGTGTTTTACTTTTCTCATGCTTGTGAATGCAGATTCCAATTAAAAAGCGATGATGGTTAGAGCTTTTGTATCTTATTTTCCCTTCCAATTTGTGAAATATAGTTAGATAGAGCACTAAAATAAGGATGAAGAGAGAAGGATAGAGGTAGCAAGGCATCTAAATGTATATCTAAATATAACCAAGATTGTTTATGTCAATGAGCTCTCCAAAAGGATAAGCATGTGTTCATGTGACTTTCTCAGTCAGGGAGATGGTTCGCAATGCTCCCTCGTGCATTGTATGCTTTATTGTTCATATTTCAAAGGCCTTTTTTTCAAGATTCTAAACAAATAAATCAAAAGTTAAGTTATTATCCCAGTTGTAGAAATGGAGAAATTGAAGTATTGAAGTATTGAAGTTGTTTACTATTAGGGATAGGATTAGATTTCATGTCATCATTCTAAATCTTGCATCCAGTCTTCTAGCACTGACTACCTACCATAATGTGACACACGTTCATGTGTTTGGTTTTAAGTGATTAATACCCAGGGAAGAGCAATTGCCTGAATATCAGGCAAATGACTAAAAATTTCTTAAGGATAACTCAACATTGAAGATAAAAGACCTAACATTTCATGTTACAATTCTCATCTTTACTGTTTCTCAGGCATGCTCTGATTCATCTCTGCAGAATACTTCATATACTGTAGTTTAACTTTACATTTCTATCATGATACCAAAATTTTTCCAAAACAGCCATTTCCCTACACACTGAGTATTGCTAGCTCTTAAATCAAATGTATACTGTCTGCTTCCATCCCTGCTCTCTGTCTCAATTATTATTTTTCTGAAGATAAGAAAATCCCATTTTTACCACTGGAGAGCCAGGCTGCTTAGGTCACAAGATTCTCTTGGCTTAATCCTTGAGTATGAATCATGAACTTTCCCTAATAAGTACTGGCATTCTTCAGATGATCAAGCTAGCTTACTAAGGCTTCCAGAGCTTTCCACATTAATTATCACCATGTTTGAAGTATCAAAAGCAGTAGCTGATTAAGAATTATTAAGACTATAAGTTGTTTATTCTTACTTTTTGTTTCTGTCCTCTATTTCTCACTCTTATGTGGGTTGATACTGTAAATGGCAATAATACAACCCAGTTAAAAGAAAACAAAATGTGAAAAAGAATACGAAAAAGATAAATCAGATGGAAAAAATCAATGTGAAAAATTGGAAACAAAGTAAGTTGCTTTCTACACTACATGGCTCAAAAGTAAGCTATAAACGCCTACGACTCTAGTTCAGAAAAAGCTTTTTTTTCTCACATTTAATATCAGAAAATTGTGACATAACCAGACTAATAGTAAGCCTGTACTCTGCAAATTACTTATAACCCCTGCAAAAGAATCATACACTCTACTGAGAAGTCATAGTAAATGCGATGTGATTAAGTAAGAGTTCTGCTAAGAAATAAATAAAATGAAGTCCCTAAAAAGAAACAAGAAACTATTTCTTAACACTTGAAAGTGGGAACAGAATATTCACTCTAGATTCAGAGTACAGGAAATTGCTAAGACTGGACTCTACTAAGTACTTTAAATCTGGAAACATGAAGATCCCGGGCACTTCAGGAAAGATTTTATATTCATGCAGCAAATTTAGATACTAAAGCTAGCAAAAGTAGAACAAATATGAACCTATTCAGTTTAGCTACCAAAAATATTTTTGTATCTTTTACCAGGATTAGCACATCTAAATAAAGATGCAAGTAAATTCCTCAAACGGTATTTTAAGTGTGGCAGAGTGTGACAGGATAAAAGTATATTTAATGTTTGCAAAAATAAGTAGGTTTGTACTTAACTGGCAGTTAATTAAAAAATGTGTGTCTATGGGTCCATTATACATGTATGAATAACAGGACACACCCAAGTCATAGTCAAAATCATTTGGGAACTTTTATGAAGACAACAAATATTTTTACAATAGCAGCGATTAAGCCTGAATATAAAAGCAGAAAGCTCTGAGAGGAAATCAGAAGTGAGTCAAAATCACTAGTGGTTACTCTCATATTTATCATCAGAAGTGAGTCAAAATCACCAGGCGTTACTCTCACATTTATCATTATATAAACTGTAGTATAAGAATGCAGTCAAGAGGAAAAGAAGAAACAAGATGAAAAGAGCAAATCCAAGACACATCTTCAGTATTATTTCCAAAGCTGACAAGTTCAAGAAAAATACTACGAGTAGTATTAAATAGAAAAGGCTTCTTTGAGCTCTCAAAAGAATGAGTTCTCAAAAAAGAACTAAAACCAGTGAAATAACATTGCAGTTTATGTTTCTCAGAAATACAAGAATCCTTTGAAATCAAATTTAGATACTGTATTTAGATATTTACAAATTTAAAAAATACACAAAAATATCTTAAAGGTTCAGTACAGTCCTTTTTTGAGGCATGATCTAGTGATACACTTGAGCAAGTGAGTAGCTGAACCTGAGTCTTGCTTCCAAGAATTTCCATAATTTAGCACCCAAGTTCAGGAAATGACTTGAAGTCATACCAACCTGATTCAGTAAACTATTTGAAGACACAGCATACTAAGCATTGAATTTCATATTTGCTATGTACTTTACCACATAAACAGAATCTTTCTCCAGAATGAAGGTCTCTGCAGAAAGAGTAAAACATCCTCTAATTCTATTAACTATTTTTCTAACTAAGTACAGAATACAAAAGTTGGGTAGAAGATCTAGAATGGATTGGTAGAGATCTATGTCATCCCTGTCTTAAAAAAAAAAAAGAAAAAAAAGTTTCATACAGGAGTAGTCTTACTCAAACTTTATTTATTAGAGATAAGCTCAAGTCACTTAAGTGAAAGCTAGACATACACAAGCAACACTTCTGGAAGAAAACTTTAATGTATTATTTCCAGACTTGGTGAAAAACACTGCGAAGTCTTACAAACACTTCATAACACCATGCAAAAATTTAACCTAAAATTTAGGCTACTGCTGTGATGAGCATTTAGAGGAGAAGTTTAACATTTTTCAGAAGCTGTACTATTTGATCGTTAACTCTTTTTGTCCTGTTCCTCATTACATCTGAAAATATTTTAATTTGCTTTGTTTTTATGGAAGTGTACAGATGTGCAGAAAGCCTGTTTAACAATTCATAAAAAAACCCAAACAAACAAAAAAACCCCACCAACTCTAAAGCTCTGCATTCACAAAACACAGCATAACATCTTAACCTAATAAAGTCTTGCCCTACTTTCAGATTTGCAGACCTCAAAATAGGAATTTAAATATTTTACTTCAGCACTGGGGCAAAATTATATCCTAAGACCAAAAAACTTTGAAAAAGTTATCTTATCTGGGTACTCCGTCCAATTCTACACTAGAAACTGTAGAAAGAGAAACTGTTACCAGATGTGATAACGTACGTGATGTGAATTAGTAATGGGAGCCATATTCAATTACTGTTGTACAATGGCATAAGTGGAAAACAAGACAGAAAAGAAACTATTTCCAATGATTTTTTCTCTTGGATGAAATGAGCTTGCATAGAACACAGAGTTACAAAAATGAACTAAAACTATAAGGCCAGAGTGTTAGCATGGCATGCTCTTAAGAAGAATTTGTCTGTTTATGGCTTCCATGTGCTGTACAAAAATAACAATGTATCAAAGCAAAAAATACAACTTTTTATTTATGAAAAGCAAATTACTGATAAAACTATTTTCAGATAGCATTAAAAGCAAAGGTAAGAATATAGCAAAAGTAAGACAATTTTTAATGCTAGAGAGGTATACAAATTATTTCCTAAAAGTTCTATCAATTACTATTGAGCATGTCATTCTTTATGACTCATCTTTGCTCAGATGGCTCCATCATGAATCTAATGCAGACTGTCAATTAATTCTTCATATTCTCTATGTATGACTATATTAAAGTATAAAAAACTAGCAATCTGAATTGTAAAATTTGAAAAATTATGCTCTTCTATCAAGTGTAGATTTATACACAGGGCTTACAACACATTTCTCTTCAGTCAGCAGTTACTTCTGCTGTTTGTTTTCTTTAGTCTCTCAAAGGGATAAGGGAAGGAGAACAACATATTTTCCCTGAAATATACTGCTCTTAATATATCATATCTTTCCAAATATTAAATTCAACTGAGTATATGCAGTGATCAATAGAAATGAACTTTATGGGGCAGGCAGTAAGTCAGTAAGGCAAGAGCGATTAAACACTAACATAAGTCACAAGTACTGTTGGCGGGTGTTCTCTGCCTTTCTACCCTAAGGGTCTTCTCTTGCGTGACGTACTAGTAGTTTTACATTGCATACCTAACTGATCTTTTTCTCACGCATGTAATACATTTTAATATATAAGTTCAGCAATGGCAATTATATAAATTTAACATTCAACACTTAGCCCTTTAAACTGCTTCCTCTCCTTCTAAGCTGTTCATGATCTTCATTTAGCTACCTTATATATTATCGGATAATGCATGTGTATATGCAGAATTCTTACCACATCCTACCACTTTACAAATTCAAAAAGCAACTCAGTTAATTCTTTCTTCATAACAAAGAATGCAGCACATTATTTTTATGTACCACTAGGAAAAAAACTGATAAAGAGGAAATGAAGCAGGGGAACAGAAAAACAAAATAAGAAATGAAATCCAAGTTTCTAAATCCAGCAATATAATGCCAAGAAACTGCTCCAGAGAAACTGATGGACTGCCAGCTTTTCTACCTGTTGCCAAGAAAACATTGCTGTGTTCACTGATCCTGTAATTAAACTGAGTACGTTCTGAAACAACTTCTTCTGAATTGTGCCATCTTCTGTAAAGGGGGAGGGAGCTTCATTCCTATAATACACCAATAGAAGGATGGTTCTTCTCTAAAAAGTAGGTAGAAGGGCAAGCTTGGTTTAATCATGTACACACATTCTTTAAAGAAAAATAATTAACATTTGCAAAGAGAAATCATGTTGCCTACAGACCTTTGGTAGGAAGCACAGAACTATAATTTGCATCATTCAAAATACTAATGTGCAGGGCAAAAAGTCTTAATTGCTATTCTTTAATGTCCTGTAATATTAGGAGTCTTGCTGACTCTGGTTGTTTTCTTTATCAAAATTTAAAAAGTGAGTTCTTAATTCTAGTGTTTTGTAATATTTTCTTGCTAGGACTTTTAATATTTAAGTTATTACAATTAGCCATGATAGTCAAGATGTTTGTATACAAGTATGTCAATAAAACAGATCACATCAGTATATTTCTCCTCCCACATTTTATTTTGTTCAATCCAGTCTTGTTTAACCAAGATTTTGTAAAGGCTAACTATGTTTTCTTCACCTCCACTATAGTCCTCTGGTATCTTCTTGTAAAGGTTTATTTTACTTTGGACTTCTTTTCTCCATTCCTCATGCTTTTACATTTGATGGGTTAATGAAATGTTGGCTTTACTCAGTTGAATAACTCTTTGCTATGCAGCTGGCTGTGCTAGACAGGACAGTGACTCTCTCAGACATTAGTCCTTACAGTCCTTATTTTATCAAGAAAGGTCTGGATTACCTAATAAAAGTGCAAGAAAGCCCTTGCATCCAAGACAGTTCCCAATATTCAGCAGAGGAAATCTGGAATCCCAGTAGAGGACACCTGAGTTTCCCCTTAACTTAACAGCTCCCTTACTCTTTCTGTATGCAGCCTAAGTACATTCCTACCAAACCATTCAAAGTAAAAACATCACTGTAAAGTCTTACTACTTCTATGAACTCCATTCAGCTCATCCTTAGCTTCAGAGCTCACCAAATCAATGCAGACCAACTTCCTTTAAAAGGTTGTTCACATCACTGCACGTTTTGCCATGCTCGACTTGAGCTATGCTGTTTAAACCATCTCACCATAGACTTTAAGCCACTTTAGTCAACTTTCTTTTTAAACATACAATGTTTATGGAACTAAGAGCTACTGTAAGTAACAGCAGTTTTAGTGCAATTTTTGTAGTGTAAGAAGGAATTTAATTTGTTTCTGTATCTAAATGATAAAATATAACACATTTTTTGGTTTCATCATTAGTTTCTTCAATCTTTGTCTTATTATCTGTAATTAAGAAACCAAACATTTTATTTGGTATGAAGAAGTCCAGAAAATAGCAGTAAAAATGCCTGCTTGCAAACTAAGTTCATTCTCTAATTGTTTTGCTGTAATTTACTAAAATTATCTCTTGTGCGCCACCACTTAAGACTACTTCTACAAAGAAGCCAGGGAAAAAAATAAACAGATTCCACAGTATAAAATTAATGACTGTCAAGCTCCACTATTTCCAGTTTTACTCCTCAGGAAAATGGAAATGATTTAACTATTTAAAAAATATAACGTAGTTCAGAGTGCAATACAAAATTAATTTTACACAATGTAAGAAAGAGAGTTCTAGAAAATAAACATAGCTTCACAGACAAGAATAATATTCATTGTTGTCAAGTATCTCAACAGTGACTGAAGACTGACCATTAGCAAGGAAGCCCTGTCAAAGTTGGTTGAGAAGAGCGTGTATGCTGGATGGCCAAACTGGGGGGTGCGGAATTACAGCTAGAGCCCAAAGATGTCAAGTCAGCATCTCTCACATGTGCTAGCTGGTATAAATTTTGAGCTAGTCTGTTCGTTGCTTACGAACAATCCTCTCTTCAGGTCAATGAAGCAAAACATACTCTGTTAAGCACCACACATCCAATCATACCCAAAACTGACCTTATGGACTAAGGGTCTCCATGCTGGAGGCCTAACCAAACACAGTCTTTCACTCCTGTGCTGGCCAGACGTTTATCTGATAGCACAGAACAGCCAGAGCTGAGAATATTCAGTTCACAATGCATTTTAGTTACAATCCCTTCACTCCTCTTCATTGCTATACCTCTGGTAAAGAGAGGGACTTGAGGGGAAGTAGAGCTGTTGCATTCGTTTGGAGCTAAGCTGAGAACCCCTTTGTGGCAGAGGTATTCTGTAACTGTCGATAGCATCTATAGCTGAGATAGCATCAGCTCCAGCCATTGAGTGACTCCAAGCCAGAAAGAGAGCTACTTCCAGAGGCAACTCAGACGTCAGGAGGGCTGAACCCTGAAAAGTTACTTACTCTGAAAGTAACTTTCTGATGATGACATAAGACCTTAAGATGACTATGCTAAAAATTTATATACCAGTACCTAAAGTTATGTGGGATGAGATACGGTCCATGAATCACTGAATTAAGCTGTGTTACAGAAGAATACTTCCTCATCAGTGTTACGGACGTATTTTTCAATTTTTCATAGAGATTATTTTTGTTCTTCTCACATAAAAGTAGTGTTTGGAGTTGAGGACTCCAGAAGACTTTATCTGTGGTGTTCTCAGTATCTTTTCTTTGATCCTCTTCCCCATGTATAGCAATAGCAGCTGCCAGAACGTGCAGGTTTAGGGCTGACAGATTCACTCTGGAGTGAATAGCTGAGCATACCTGGCACCCACACTCCACTTCACTTGGAGGTGGTGAGTTGCTTTGTTTTTCTTCTGTTTTGGCTTGTTTAGTTGACGAGTAACAGATCAGAGTCATTCACCAGAGAGAACTCTTGCTACTAATCTACCTCCAAAACAAACTCAGAAGCTGAGCCAGGTCATTCTTACTTTCCTGGCTTGAATTTGTCCTGCTCTCTATTGCTGATGATATCAGCAATATCCACTGGTATCAGTCGATGTGAATATGCCCATGTGGCACATTAATGATCATTGCTTCTATTTCTGACACCAATTAATTCTTGGGCTTCTAAGCCAAGCTTTGCTTTTTCAACAATTTTTTTAGCAGAGAATGAACAGTTAGCTGTTGGTGCTGATTCATTCTTCATCACCTGTTATTTATCAAGCTGTCAGCAGTGACTCCAAATGCAACTCTTCAGATTTTTCACTGCTGAGCAGTTCCACTTGCTATGGACCAATTAGCAAAAAATTATCTACAGTGTTATGTCTCATTACCTGATCAACCACTTTTTTGTAACCCATTCTGACCTCTGTTAGTACAAAATATTAATGGGACAACTCCCAGGATGAATGTCCCAGTAAATAAATGTTGTGAAGCTTCCCTTTGCGGACATCCCTGAGATTATCATTCTATAAATTGTTTTGGTGTTAGTGTGCCTTAGGTGTTCCCCAAACTCTCCACAGAGTCTTACCTGTTTTCTGTTTATGGGCTTTATCTGTTGTTTTGGTAGCCCTTGCAGTTGTCATCAGGAGAGCTAATAAAACTGGCTAGCAGGCAGAGCTCAGCCTCCTTGAGCTATTGCTTGTTACAGCCTTCTCATTCTGTATTTCTGTCTCTTTTCTTGTGCCAAGC